GTTTAGGGTTTAGGGTTGCTACTAAGGAAATTAAGTTAACTTGGGGAAACCCTTCTGTTTAAACAGTATTTTTTTAAGTCACCATAATGGGATATATAGTAAATTTTACTATATATATCCCCATTATGGTGACTTTAAAAAAAGTTACTACAACAGGGAAACCCTTGCATTTACTATACATCCCCATTATGGTGACTTAAAAAATGCTACAACAGGGAAACCCTTACATTTACAATATATCCCCATTATGGTGACTTAAACCAAGTTCCCTCACAGCAACCCAGTTTCCGGGCAACCTGATGGAGGGGCGTGTTGCCGTTCGCGTCGCGTCGATTCAGGTTGGCCCTGTGCTCCAATAGCAACTGCGCCACCTCCGAGCGACCAAAGTTGGCAGCAAGGTCCAGGGGCGTTTTACCTCCGTCATCGTTCGGATCCACCTCTGCCTTGTGCTCAAGGAGCAGCCTCGCAATCGGAGGGCTATCTTTAACTGCAGCCGTGTGGAGGGGCGTGCAGCCGTCGTCTCTGTGTGGATTAAGCTCTGCGCGATGCTCCAGGAGCAGCGCCGCCACCTCCATGTGCCGGCTCTCGGCAGCTTTGTCCAGGACTGTGGAGCCGCGTCGGTCTGCCATGTTGGGATCCGCCTTCCCATCGAGCAGAACCCGAACCTGAGTCACCGAGACCTCCCTGTCATGGTGAGTGGTCGGGCTTCTCTCCTGGGTTCTTGTTAAGGAACTTAATTTAAGTTAGCATGATAGGGATCTATAGTAAATGATATGGTTTCTTATTACGGCAGCTCAAACAAAACTCTCAACAAGAACCCAGTCTCCAAGATCATGTGGGTGAGGTCTGTCCCCACCTTGACGGCCGCAGCCTCGAGGCCTTTCATCCGTTGTACACGAGACAACAACTCCCCCAACATGCGCTTCGCTTCGGAGTACTCAGTCTCCGATTCTCTGTCTGCCTCAGGGCGCCAAATAAAACCAGCTGACACGTCTGCTTTACTAGCACTTGCCATGCTGTGCGGCATCTCAGAACCAGGTTGGGCTAACTACTAGTTACTAGTAGCTACTGGTACACATCTTGAACAAGACTTATCAGGCAACTGCTGACTGAAGACTTCTCGCAGTATTCTCAGGCGCAAGCCCCAACCGCACCTCGCTCTGGCTCGTGTCTGCCACTGCTTCCAAGAGCTCTCGGCCCTTCTCGTCCTTCTGCTGCTTCTCCTGCACCAGCCATCTCATAGCTGAAACCTACAGGATCATGAACGACTCACACAACACCAACGCCCCTTTAAGGCCTCTACGAGCTCTCTCACCTGCTTGGCCAAGGCAGTGTCCAAGCTGCAGCTCGCAGAACTACAGTCGAGGCATCGCCAGCGGAGCCGGGATCTCTGCACGAAGTCTTGCAAGCGCCAGCACTTCTTCTGTTTGGATCTCGCCCACGCGCCCAAGCGAGACGCGAGCTGCCGTTGGAGTGCTGGACTGGTTCGGGAGCAGGTACCCTGCAAGTCGATGACGAGAACCTGAGGCGACCAGTACCCAAGTCCATAAGCAGCCACTCCCAGTGTCGGAATCTCGTGTTCGTAGAGGACTGCCTTTTGAAGCGGCCGCTCGCCCTCCATGCCTTTATTCACCAGCGCGACGACGGTACCTTGTCCCCTTTCCATCATGCCGAGCACGAAGCTCATGCTCACCATGTCCCACATGTTCAGCAGCAGCTGGAGCGTCTCGTCTTTGTAGCAGTCTACCAGGTCGTCACTGCTGTCAATGACCTGTCTTTACAAAGATGGAAACATCTCAACCATGCATCCCTGATGCTGTGCACCATGCATCGTATCCCGCCTGCCCCAGCCAGCTGTCCGGATGCACGGTTGAATGGTCGGTGGCCATCGCAAAGTCGTGCAATGCCTCCATCGTGGCACGTTTCTTTGGGTCGGCGTCCCAGAAACCTGCCCAAAGCAGGGCAGAGTTCTGAGTTCGAGCAAGCGGAGTCAACCAGGCTCTTAGGAAGTACAGCGACTGGACCATGGCCGACGTGTCTCGGTCCAGCTTCAGGGTAGCTACGCTGTCCTTCGGGTATTGCATGGCCTTCACTAGGGCACTGCCGTGAACAAAGATGTCGTCCGCACTGTCCTTGCAGGTTTTCTTTGAGAGCGGTGGCGTGTAGTGCTGGAAGATGTAGTCCATGTAGTTCTCTTGGGGCTTTCGCTCTTCGCAGGTGGTTGTCAAGTTGGCAATCATTTTCCCGAGTTGCTGGAAGCAGCCGGTTGCGCTCCCCTCCGCCCAGGTCTGGCGGACTCCTCCGATCAACTCCTTCAAGGACTCTGCATTCTGCCGGCCATCGTGTGCTGCTGCCAGGGGTGTCTCCAGCGGCTCAGGGGCATCTCCCTGCCTTGTGCATTCTAAGGGCACAGAAGCTGCTCCAGGAAGAGCTGAAGGAGGGCTAAGCTCTTGCAGCAGTATCTGCTGGAGCTCCTCGGCGGAAGTGCTACTCCACTTCGGCGCACCCCCTGTGCCGCCTGTGTCCGGCTCCACACGGATCCCGAACGCCGATGGAAGAACGGCGAGGAGAACCCGACAAATGGAAGTCGCGGACATGGCTTCTGCATGGAAGAATTTGACAAACCGCGCTCTTCAAAACCGGCAGCTGAAGCAGACAATTGCCAGATGCTACGGAAACCGAAATGCATAGATCTGAACCGAATGTGGCCCATCCCTGCCTGATCTGGCTTAATAAAACGAGAACGGCTTATGGAATCCGCATCTCCTCCCAACACGGCGTCAACTCTCTGCAGGTTCAAAAGCGATGAAGCTTTGAGCAAGCCCAGCGGAGCGAGCGAGCGATCATAGAACATGAAATCACAGGGCTTGTGATGTAGAGCTATGTCTAGTCCGATTCCTGCGACAAGGAGGCCCTGTAGCTGCAAGCCGCTAGCCGATACGGAAGTGCAGAAAGAATCCACAGCCGGCATGTGTGCTTTTTGCCTGGCAGCTTTGTGTTCCCAGACGGTGTGGCAGGATCTTCATCCGGGACTCGTCTCTCTCCTCGGCTTGGCTCGCAGACGACTTCTTGCGAGTGCCAAGCTCTCTGAGGGTCACACGCCACCAGCAAGCTCACAACATAGGAGAGTGCAACCTTAACGACTGCATCCGGACAGGGGGGACATCCAAAGCTGTGGGAGAGTGTGTGGAATCCAGCTACAAGTAGGCTGAGAGGCTGGCGGCAGCAACTATTATAATTGTGCCAGGCAGGAAGCCAAGGTGTATATGTAGGCCTGGACGTCACTCACTGATGCTGAAATGACGACTGCAGCTGCCAGCCGGGAGCAAGGCACTCGACGCCGACGTCCCGCAGGCCACGGCACGTGGGCGCCAGGTTTTGCTTGTAAACGATCAACCTCCGAAAGTGTGCCAAAAAGAGCCAAGATGCGTTAAAGAACTTGAGACCGCGTTCAGGCCGTTGAGGCTTACTGAAGTCTCAGGGAGCGGCTCAATAAACTGGCCGATACCATACCTGCCACCCAGGCTCGTGGGCTCCATAAGGGCTACAGCACGGGCTACTGGTGCAAGGGGTTGCTACAAGGGTCACTATTCAGGTTACTATTTGGGGCACTATAAGGGGCAGCATAAGCAGTATTACAAAGGCTACTTCGAGGTGGCCTGTCGCCGCCCAGAACTGCGGCAAGGAAGGCAATCAGGAAGACGTCATAAGCAGCCCAGGCTCGGAAGGTATAGCCTCGGGCTTTTCAGGGTGGGGTTTAGGGTTTGCCTCGCTCCGGGACCTCTCACCGAAGTCTGCAAGGTGACGCGGAAGCATGGAACCCGGCATAAACGAAGAAACTGCTGCCGACGCTTTGGGCGCAGCTGATGCAGGCCTTCATGTGCGAAGCCATGCGGATGCAAGGTCTCGAGGCACGACGATCTCCCCAGAGACTCCAATATCCCAAAATTAAGGAATGGACCTTAAATCATATAAGGGATCCCTATTATAATTTAAGGTATATTCCTTACTTCAGGGGCTTTGGAGTCCCTGGGCTCTTCAGCTTCCCGCAGAAAAACGTCATTGCCAGCAGCTGAAGCATCGGGATGGCTAGCACGAAAACTGCAAACGTCACCTGGCGAGGCTGCAGGAGACACCCAGAGACTCCCGAAACCCCCCTTAATTAAGGAATAGACCTTAAATCATTTGAGGGATCCCCACTATAATTAAGGAATGTACCTTAAATCATCTTAGGGATCCTATGATAATTTAAGGTATATTCCGTAGTTAAGGGGTTTTGGAGTCTTTGGGTATAGGGCTTAGGGTTGCAGCGGCTTGCAGACAGAGCTTCACACGGCTTGGGGCAGTCGCCGTGCCTGCAGGTACATCGAGCCCTGCGCTCCCAAGCACCACAGGATCCCCAGAATGCCTCAGTCTGCCACATTAGGGTTTAGGGTTTAGGGTTTAGGGTTTAGGGTTTAGGGTTTAGGGTTTTGGACCAAAGTCTGTCGTGACTCTGAAACTTGCCGGGGGCGCTATATCTCTTGGAGGTTTCTTGCTGCGTCACCTGAGACAAGGAGCACGGGGCAAAGGGGACTTAGCGGCGTCGTTTCGGAAGCTAGAGTTCAGAACGGTGACCAACTATGAGCAATGTAGCGGCCTAAATAATTAGCAATACTATCTGGGGGTTCCTCATTATAATTACAGTATCTTGGGCCCCCAGACCTATTCTAATTATTAAGGCCCCTTTATCAGTGAGGTCCTTGCCGAGCTGGCACCCACACCCACTCCAGAGTGTGCCTCCAAAAATGTTCCGACAAGGCCACTGAAGGTGACTTCAACCTCAGCACAGGATGCTGTCGAGCCCTTCTCGTGCCCGCCCTTCTCGTACCCCCTGTAGTCCTGAGCCACTGCCCTTATGGTACCCGCATACCTAGAAACCCGAAACCCAAACCCCTATAGTAATCTAAACCCCGAAAGTAACACTAAACCCTAAGCCCCTTCTAGTAGCCCCATAAAACCCAAGAGAATCTAAACCCTAAGCCCCTTCTAGTAGCCCCATAAAAATCCTATAAACCTAAAAACCCTAAACCCTAAACCCTAAGTGCCACTTGAGGCTTCCATCCCAAGGTCCGCGCGATTTCTACCTGCCAGGAGAGCACCTCAGGGAGGGACTGTCGGTCTGAGATATGGGTTTAGGGTTTAGGGTTTAGGGTTTAGGGTTTAGGGTTTAGGGACTGTCGGTCTGAGATATGGGCAGTTCTCTAAATTGGGATCCCCTTTAGTTTGGGTTTAGGGTTTGGGGTTTAGGACTTGGGGTTTAGGGTTTAGGGTTTAGGGTCCAGTTTGGGGTCTTTTCTGATGAGGGTACCGCCTTTTGTCAAAATTAGGGTCCCTTTTTGGGTACCCTAAACATTAGGTGCCGTATTATATTACGGACCCATAAAGGGACCATAATTTTGACAACCACCCATATGGGCAGTTCTCTAAATTGGGATCCCTTTTAGTTCCCAGAGACTCCAATATCCCTTAATTAAGGAATATACCTTAAATCATATTAGGGATCCTACCATAATTTAAGGTATATTCCTTAATTAAGGGGTTTTGGAGTCTCTCTAAATTGGGATCCCTTTTTTAGTTTAGGGTCCTTTCTGATAAGGGTACCGCCTTTTGTTTGGCGTTCTTAAACAGGGCCCCTCATTTAGAGAACTACCCACATGTTGAAGAGTGACATTAGGGTTGAAGGTTGGCTTTAGACTGATATTCAGCTTAAGGTTTCTGGGCTTAGGGTTTTAGGGTTAAGACTGATATTAAAGGGTTTAGGGTTTAGGGTTGAAACTGATATTGAAGAGTTTAGGGTTCGGGGCTTATACTGATATTACATGGGTAGGGTTAAGACGGATATTAAAAGTTTTAGAGTTAAGACTGATATTGCATAAAGGGTTTGGACTGATGGGAAAGGGTTCAAGATTTGGACTGATATTAAAAGGTTTCGACTCTCACTCTCGCAAAAGGGAGGCAAGGATCCATACAGGGTTTAGGGTTAAGAATGATATTGAAGGGGTTAGAGGGGTTAGGGTTTGGTGCTTAGACTGACATTAAAAAGTTTACGATTTATGTGGACTGATATTACAGGGTGTAGGGTTTAGGGTCAAGAATGATATTGAAGGGGTTAGGGTTAAGACTGATGTTAAAGGTTTGAAAATCAAGACAGATATTAAAGGGTTTAACGTTAAGACTGATATTAAAAGGTTTAGGGTTTGGGGTTAAGACTGATTTTAAAGGGTTTAGGGCTTGGGGTTAAGACTGATATTGAAGGGTTTAGGGTTTAGGGCTAAGAATGATATGAAAGGGGTTAGGGTTAAGACTGATATTTAAGGGTTTAAAGTTAAGACTGATATTAAAGGGCTTAGGGTTTGGGATTAAGACTGATATTAAAGGTTTTGAAGTTAAGACCGATATTAAAGGGTTTTGGGTTTGGGGTTAAGACTGATGTGAAAGGGCTTAGGGTTAAGAATGATATTGAAGGGGTTAGGGTGAAGACTGATATTAAAAGGTTTAGGGTTTAGGGTTAAGACTGATAATGAAGGGCTTAGGGTTTGGGGTTAAGGCTGATGTTAAAGGGCTTAGGGTTAAGAATAATATTAAGGTGTTTAAAGTGAAGACTGAGATTACAGGGTGTAGAATTCAAACCAAGTTGATATGGGGGTTTCCGAAAATTAGGGTACCTTATTTTGGGGTCCTTATAATAAGGATCCTATTTTTTAGGGTACTATATTAGGGTCCCCTAGTTTCCGAAACTCCCATATTGGGTATCGGGTTGTGGAAGAGTGGGGTCGGCGTCTCAGGGGCTTTACAATTTTGGGGTTTACCTGAAACCCTAAGCCGGAAACCATCTTTACAGTTCAGGGTTTTGGGGTTTACCTGAAACCCTAAGCCCGGAAACCCTTTTTAAAGTTTAGGGTTTTGGCTTTAGGGTCAGATTTAAAGTTTAGGGTTTTGGGCTTAGGGTCAGAAGCTCGGTGCGAAACCATGAGCAGAAAGCACACCACATGGCCCACACCTGCGCATGCAGAATTCGGTGTTTCTGGGCATTGAGTGTACCTCGTGGGTGTTTCGGAAGGATCTGAAATTTACTATTTGGGATCGATAAGTACCCCTTTCCGAAACTTAAAAATAAGAGTGGCAGCAAGGGCAAAGGCAAAAGCGGCAGCGCGTTTCAGTTCAGGGGGGAGTTCGGGGGTCCCAGAGACTCCAAAACCCCTAAATTAAGGAATAGACCTTAAATCATATTAGGGATCCCATTATAACTTAACGTATATATCCTCATATAAGTAAGGGGTTTTGGAGTCTCTGGGGTGTGGGGGAGCTTTACAGTCTATAGGGGACACCTCTGTCGTGGCGATTCATCTCTCTTTGTAAGGACGCCAGGTTCAAGTCTCAGTCCTTGCCCAGCCCATGACAAGCACATATACGACCCTCGGTATAGTATAGTATAGTATAGTATGGTATAGTATGGTACAGTATGGTATAGTATGGTACAGTATGGTATAGTATGGTATAGTATATGATAGTATGGTATAGTATGCTATAGTATGGTATAGTATGGTATAGTATAGTCTAGTATAGTATATTATAGAACCGGGACCCGGCGAGCAAGCAAAACTACTCGTGATCGATGCGATTTAGCAGAGCCGAACAACTGGGGCAAGTGTTGCTCGAGAGTTCTGACGCTTGACATGATCAGCAAAGCGGAGGCGTGCCTATTACCCGCAAGCGCCGAGCCGGCTGGCCTGTCATGGGGCTCGACTACACTATATACTATATACTAGATACTACATGCTTTGTACTAATACCTTTGAACTACATACTATATACTATATACTATATACTATATACTATATACTATATACTACATACTATATACTATATACTATATACTATACTATGCTTCCTGCACCAGGCCAGCAGAAGCAGCACATGCCAGGGCAGCCGGACTGAACCAGAGCTTCCTCTGGGCCTTCGAGGATGCGAGCACGGTCAGGCCATCATACGGTTTAGGGTTCAGGGTTTAGGGTGGTTTAAGGTTCAGGGTTTAGGGTTTAGGGTTCGGGGTTTAGGGTTCAGGGTTTAGGGTTCAGGGTTTAGGGCATCTTCTTCCTACGGAAAGCGCCAAACAGAACTGGCGGAGTGGCGGTTTCCGTGTTCTCGCCTCGGGTCGTCTTCTCGTTGCCCCGGTGGATCCAGAGCATGGCATGGCCCAGAAGTAGGGACCTAACGCAGACTTCGATCACTTCGAGCCTTCAACAAGCAGCTACTTTAGGATCTTATGGTACCTTACGGCACCTGATAGTGAACTACGGTGCATGTATGGTACCTTATAGTAGGTTCTCGTACCGCAAGCTCTTTCTGAAAGAGGCCCCCCGGCAGGATGGTGGCCGCAAGGAAGGTGTTGAGCTCATCCTCCGGGCCTCGGTGACAGCAGAGCCGGCCTTTCCTTTCCTTGCTGTATGCAGAGATGCTCTACCTCCATGCTTGTATGTGCATATTAGAGATAGAAAGATAGATCGGTAGATCGGTAGAGGTAGATAAAAAGACAGATAGACAAATAGATATGATAGGATGGGATGGGATAGGACCAGGACAGGACAGGACAGGACAGGACAGGACAGGATAGGATAGGGTAAGATAGATAAGATAAGATTAGATAAGATTAAATAAGGATTGGATTTGACTAGATTAAATTAGCCTAGCCGAGCCGAGCCTTAGCCCAGCCGAGAGTGGATTAGCTAAGGTAGATCGCTAGCTAGCTAGCTAGAAGTAGCAAGATAAACAGAAAGGATCGTGCCGGCTCACCATCCTCTTCTTCTGCTTCTTCTGCTTTGGGGGTTGCTGTCCGTCTCAGGCACCAGCTGCACTTCAGGCCGAAATTGGCCTGCCCACCTCCCACAATATCCTCCGGGAGCGGCAAGGGTAATTTGAGACCGCTACAAGGACAGCCAGGCTGAAAAGATGCAAAGGAGTCACAGACTGACTCGAACGAGATTCACTCAGCGACGGTTATGAAGGCCTCACCCGTCCAGGCAATGTGGAAGAAGACGACCTCAGTTTGCAGGGTTTGAGGAAGCCGATTCTTAGAACTTCCATGTGTGCTCGCTGTATGTACGTCCCATGTTTGGAGCAACGAAACACATATCACTCCTTCCCAACTCGCTCCAGTCGATTTGTATTGCATGAGGCCCGAGCAAAGAGGAACAAGATGATGTTGTCCATAAGCGACCACTTCCCTATCTGGTCCTTGGTACAGAGCCACATCCTGTTGGTGACAGCAGCGTTCCGTACTGATCATGTAGACCCCTGGTGAATACTCAATTACTTTAGTGGCGCCTTCACAGTTTCTAGCACTGCTACAACTGCCTTTTCCGGCAGGGTTTATGAACCAGGGGTCTGCAACGAAGAATATAAGGCAGAAGCCAAGAAGACCAGCATAGGACCAAGCGCTTTCTGCTCGATGGGTCTCACCCAAACATACCTGGCTGATCTTTCTTCAGCTTTTGTCTCAGGCTTGAGAGCTTCGGGTTCAGGGGTTTGGGATTTAGGGTTCACCGATTTAGGGTTTAGGGTTTAGGGGCTTGGCAAACTTGGGGAGTCGGATTTGGGACTGTTGCAGTCAACTGGGAAGTCGTCAAAGAAAGGTGGATAGCGAAGGGGCACAGCATCATCAAGAGCTTGATGTACGGCCACACCACACTGAAGATCAACATGGCGCAGAAGACGAAGTACGACCTCGGGTCAAGCTCTACGACCCTACCCCGAACCCTGAGCCCTAAGCCGAATGTCAAACCTGAACCCTGAACCCTAAA